GCTGGTTGCTTGTTTGTTGCGGTTGCAGAAAAGGGGGGGGGGGGGGGGGAGATGTTCCCTGTTTCAATATGCCAGTTTAACATTTCATTTTCTGGTAAGGAACAAAATTTTTTTGCCTGTACAAAAGGATAAAAATTCAAATAATTTTCAAGTCATTCAGATCACGTGAAACATACAGAGAAAATTCAGAGCAATACAAAGGGTCATGACCAGAGACTTCAATATCACCTCACAGTTAAAGATGTTAGGAGGCAGTGAACTTGCAGGCAAGCCACAGGCAGCCGTGGTTTTCTAACACACGGAAACTGGAGCCAAGCTCGCAGCACAGCAGGCCTTCAAAATATACTCCCTGTTCAGAGTGACAAAAGGCTAACAGTTAAATGTGCTGCACCTATGCCATTTTTATCTGTTTACTGAGGATTTTAATGACTGCCTGAGACTGCAAAATGTATTTAAAATAGTTTGAGAAGGTTTAGCCTCTTTCTTTCCAAATAAAGTAATTCTCTAATACCTAGAATGACTAACTAGCACTTAAAAGAAGAAAAAGCTTATGATGAAACCCTTACCAGATGAAACACAACAAAAGCCAATGCAGGGGGAATCACATCAAAGAAAATGCCTTGACTGGAACAGCCTCACCCATCCAGAGTCCGAGACACCCCTGAGACACTGGCATCTCCCCCTTCTCGCCCACCAGGGCTGGGATCACCAACAGCAGAAGGTCCCACCACCCTGCAGAGTGGTGCTGCACAGCAGGTACCAGCCGGGTTTCACCCAGTCACTCCATGAAGCAGTAAACTCCTCTGCCACAAAGCCATGTTTGTGTCCTGGTGTTTCCCGTTACTCTTGATGTCCCTGCAACCTGTCCTCCCCACTTTGCTTTATTTCAGGGAGAGAAAGTTCCAGCAAGTACAAGAGCCAGGGCAAAACTGTAATTCAGGAGACAACCCTTTCTCTTCTTAAAATCCCCTCCGTCACCATACATCAACTTCCACAAGTGAAAGATGTCCAAGCAAGAAGTCTTCCTAGCTAAATAATGCTGACTTATCCCCCAAATTGGCCAAATCTGTGAAAAAACTCTTCTAGGCTGTCCTGTAAGTACAGTATAGTGTTCTTGTATCATAACGCAGAGGCAGCACAGGACCTAAACAACTATATGAAACTCATCCTTCTAGTATTTTATAACTTTTAATGCTTGCCATTGCAACCTATCTAAAATTATTTTTAACATATTTGCATGCAATATAAATGAGAATACATATTTGATGATGTATGCTTTCAGTTAGCAGGACTAAAACCTTGCCATTTCATACATTAATGACCAAGTTTTGAGACAGAACTCAACAGGGCAACTACGCTCAGAACTCCTTAATCCTACCAACACATACACAAATGAAATGCTTAACTTCACATAAGCAGCTCTACGGAACTTTTGTTTCTACTGCAGATCATTCAAGCTGATGGGGTTACTCCCATCAAGTTAAGCATGTATGTAAACTTTTGGAGGACATGGGCATAATTACATATACTACAGAGGAAGCTAAATATGTTTCAAAAGGTTATTCATATTTTTCAAGCCCTTTTGGTTAAAGGACAAGAGTCATCATCAATTCTGAACTACAGTCAAACAAGCATTCATTGTATCTCAAAAGGAGAGCTTCTTTTAGAGATATTTTTAGCAAAAGGAAATTCAGTGAAATTAGCCAGTTCTGCCAACTACTTCCATTTTCCAATGCTGTTCAAACTGACTTCCTGTCAATATTAATTGACATAAAAACATTTAACTATTATGTGCTGGAGAACTTGGAAAACTGAGTAAGACTCTTGCTTGGCACAGCATATGAAGGAAAGTAAAACTTCTAGAGAAGTTAAGGAAAATAATCTGTTCCCCGTTCTGAATATTACTTTTTTAAAAGTAAAATATTTGTAAATAGCTATAAATAACCAGCATCAGAGTTTTGATTCACTCCTCCTGACGTCTGGTGAACATAATCCAGATGTACTTATTTTTTTCTGTCAACTGTAACTGACAAAACTTCAGAAACACAAACAACTTCAACTGTATCACCTTCCTTAGCTGCCTGAAAAACACACCAACCTTGTATATTTTACTGATTTTTTTTTTAATATGTACAAGTAATTGAAAAGATATTTCAGTTACCCTGAACAACAGAACCCAAAACTTTTATGCAATAAATGTTTTATAAAAAATGTGGTAACGTAGGAACAATCATGTCTGCGATTCTAGGAATAATACTAAACATTTGCAACTTGGTAATATAAATACTGATGCTTCCTGGTCATTTTCTAATACAATATGAGGCTTGAAATAAGGGATTTCACCCCACTGCTATTCAAAGAAGGCTGTAAAAGACTTGTAAAGTACATTCTCTCCTACCAACTACTGCAGAGCAACTTTACTACCTAAAAAAAAAAAAAATCCACTGCCAATATTACTTGACAGCTTAGTAAAGACTTCCCCCCAATTATATCTTTTAATTTTGATTTTACATTAATAAACTCTCAAGCAGGCGACTGGCACCAGGGCTGAACTGGTGCGAGGATGGGGGGTGACACCAAACCCCAGGTGCAGGAGGAAGCCAGCCAGCAGGAATAGCCAAAGCTCACCTCACTGACAGCACCAAGTTCCCACTGCAAGTATCA